TTGGAGGAGCAGGCACCTGGGTGACCCAGAAGTGGCTTTTTGGGAGGGTGTTGAACTCCTCTGTTGTGCAGAATGCGGAGACGGGGAGTGGGATCCAGCTGGGGTGGGGTTCGGTGGTCTCTGGTGGGGTGCCAGAGGGGAACCCTCGTTTCTGAGCGCTCTTCTCTCCTTCTCTCCCCAGGCATCACCAATGTGCTGTATCTCTTCTGTGCAGCGCTTACTGAACACAAGATCCTGTTTCTCTCCAGCAGTTACCAGAGGCTGACTGACGCCTGCCGGGCTCTCCTTGCACTTATGTTCCCCCTCAAGTACAGGTGAGGGAACCCTGCGGCTCCTCGAGCCCCGCAGCCCTGAGCCAGCTGGGCACAGCCGCCTGCCGAGCCCGTGCTGCTGCCCTGCCTCCCCCTTGCTGCACGCCCTCGCTGCCTCCCAGTCTCATAGCTGGTGTTACTGGTAGCTGGCTGTGTTTTGGGCGCTGCCGGGAAGGGGCAGGTGCATGCCCACAGGTCTGGGCTGTGCTGAAAGCCCCTTTCCTGAAGGCTTTGGTGTGCGCAGCAACGTGATTCCAGAGTGTGTCCACAGCAGCAAAGGGGTGCGAACCTTCCACCCCTGCCTCCCTCCTCTCTAGGGCAAGACCGGGGCTCTAGCACTGAAAGCAGGGAGCGAGGCATTACCAGCAGTGTCTGTAGCTCCAGGAGCTGCTGGCATGTGCTATTCCTAGCCGTGGCAACTCTCGACAGAGGGAAGCAAGCCCATCAGGCTGTGGGACATGGTCCAGCAGTGCGTGATCACGCCATGGTGTGTGCGGGAGAGGCCAGAGCTGCTTATCCCTCCAGAATCCATCCCCTTTCCCTTCTCTCGGCTGCACTGCACAGAGCACCAGTGCACCGCTTCTGCTGGGAGCCCTCTGTCCCAGCCCCGGGCGCAAAGTCCCGCTGAACGATGGGGCTGGACACTGGGAGGCTTCCAGAAAGCCGTGGTGCAAATTCTGCCCTCCCTAGAAAGGGGCACGCACATACAGAGCTTTTGTTAAGGTGCCGGTGGTGGTGGCCAAGCCGCCGCGGTGACTCCTGCGGGACGGCTGGCACCCTGCTCGCCCCAGCCCCGGGGAGCTGGTGATGCTGTTGACCCGCGGGGCCCCGCCCGGGCCGCCCGCTCCCCCACCGG